AATATTTATTTCAGTTTTCTAGTTTCATTTTTTTTTTACTTTTCCCCCCCGGAAAAACAGGAACCTTCATCTCCTAATTGTAAACCTACAACTCCTAAAAATTAAAACTAAAGACTAAATTTAAAAAAAAACTTGTTAATAGTTATAATTTTGTCTATCTTTTATGTAATTTAAGTAGATTATTGTGGAATACTCTTTCCCTTCCTGAAATTATTACTTTAGCATTTACTGGACTAGTAATTTCTGTTACTGGGAAAGGTCCCACCCAAATAGGTGAAAACTTATTTCTTCTACTTGTATTCTTCAACCATACCCTATCTCCTACTTTGAACATTCTATTTTTAGAATTCTTATCATAGTTTATCTTTGCTTTAAGTTTTGCCAACTCCTGATTTTTTCGAACCACGTCGTATGAGCGTTGAATTTGATATTTCAGAATTTTTGAAAAATCGTCGTGGTTGTATAATGGTGTTGGTTTTCTTTTTAATGTTATAGGAATCTCGAAATCGAACCCAAATAGTGTTTTTGATGGTGTCTGCTTTGTTGCAGAATGCACAGTGTTATTATGAACATGCATCGCATGATGCAACCACTCATCCCAGTTGGATCCATCCAATTTAACGAAACTTCTTAAAAATTCCGCTAAAGGACGATGACTTCTTTCCAAAGAGCCATTTGCCTGTGGATGATATGGAGTAGTTTGTATCTTTTTAACACCAAGAATTTTGCAGATTTCTTTAAATAATTTTGATGTGAAGTTAGTCCCATTGTCTGTTACGAGAACTTTTGGTATATTGAATTTTGAAATTATTTCGTTAAAGAATTTCCTTGCTACTGTCGTAGCTTCCCCATCCTGTAATGCTGTACAAACCAAATACTTAGAAAAATCATCCTGAAATGTTAAAATTAGTTTATTCCCATTCTCTGTAGTAGGAAGTGGGCCTACAATATCCATAAATACTTTGTCGAATGGTCTTTGAGGGGTATCCGTCAAAACCATTGGCATTTTCTCTACCCTAGAGCTCTTGTTTTTCTGGCATTGTTGACATGTTCCGACGTAGTCTTTTATCTGTCTTTGCATGCCTGCCCATTTAAACTGTTTTCGTATTCGAAAATACGTTTTAACAGCTCCTTGATTTCCTCCGATAGGTGAGTCGTGGAATTTCTTTAATACTTCTTGGATATCTTTTTTATTGGTTAGAAACACCGCGTAATCTTCTTTCGTTTGGTCCTTCGTATCTTCCACTTCTTCTATTTCATTTTGTTCTATTTTATTTTTGTTTTCCTTCAGATTTGTTGCTCTTTTATTTCCTCTCGTAACTACTGCTATTGGTAGCCGACTCAGAGCATCCGCGTTTTTATTGGTTTTTCCTGGTTTGTACAAAATTTCAAAATCGTATTCCAACAATTTCAATCGGAATCTTCCCAAACGTGTGTCTTGGTCTTTAAGATTTGCTATACCTCTTAATGGCTTATGGTCAGTAAATATTTTAAAATGTCTTCCCAATAAGTAAGACCTAAAATTCCTAGTTGCCCAAACTATCGCAAGAAATTCCTTTTCTATAGTTGAATATCTTTTCTCAGTATTACTCAGAGCACGGCTTGCGAAATAAAGTGGTAAATCAGAACCTACTTCTCCCTGAGACAATACTGCACCTAACGCTTCATTACTAGCGTCAGTTGTTAAAACAAAAGGTTTTGAGAAATCTGGATATTGAAGTATAGGAGGCTTCGTTATTGCAGCCTTCAGTCTAATCATTGCTTCTTGGCAACTGTCGTTCCATTCGAACTTTTCTCCTTTCCTTAGTAATTTATTAAGTGGTAAACACACACTCGCTGCTTGTGGGATAAATTTCCTATAATAATTCACAAGTCCCAAAAATGATTGCAGTTCCTTAACATTTCGAGGTGCTGGGATAGACTTAACACACTTGGTTTTGTCTGGATCTGGAATTACTCCTTTGTCCGAACATTTATGCCCAAGGTAAACGACTTCTCGTCTTAAAAACTGACATTTCTCCGTTTGTAATTTTAAATTATTTTCTTTTAGTGCTTGTAATACTCTCCTTAACCTTTGGTCGTGTTCATTTAAATTCCTTCCGTAGATAACAATATCGTCGAGATAGACGAATCAATCTATCCCTTGTAATCCTGTTAAAATACTATTCATAATTCGTTGAAAAGTTGCGGGTGCTCCTGTTAAACCAAATGGCATTTTAAGAAATTCAAAATGTCCTAGACCTGTGCTAAATGCCGTTTTCTCCCTGTCTTTACTGTCTACCATCACCTGGTGATAGCCACTAGCCAAATCCAGCGTTGAGAAATATCTACTGCATCCTAGTTGGTCTAAAATTTCATCAATTCTAGGAATTGGAAACACCTGTTTAATTGTTTTTTCATTTAATTTTCTAAAATCAACCACTAGACGCCATTTCTTTTCCCCATCTACACCTGACCTTTTTGGTACAAGTATGATAGGAGAGTTCCATGGTGATTTACTCCTTGTTATTATCTCTTCATCCAGCATTTCACTAACTTGCTTATTAATTTCTTCCTTATGTGCTTCTGGTAGTCTATATTGTCGTTGATTTACCGGTATTTGATCATGACTTGTTGGAATTTCGTGTGCCAATACTGATGTATAGGACAGTTTATCTCCTGGTAAGTGAAATACGTCGTTATATTCCTTAATTGTCTGCGTGATTAACCGTCTTTCTTCATTGTTTAAACGCTCATCCAATCTTATTAATTTCAGTAATTTTCCGTACCTTTCCTGTAAGTTTACTTCTTTGTTCAAATTAACATTAGGGACATTGTACTCATAGTACTCATTCATATCACTGCCCTTTAATTCAATTTCACTATTCATTTCAACTGCATAGTTGTTTGCATTCAAAATTCTTACAAAACTTATTCCGTTTTTTACTTCTGTTAAACATTCACCTGAATAGACATTTGTAACTATTTCCTCTTTATGTATTACGAGTGTTCCTTCTTTAGGCACTACTTTTACTGGAATAATCATTGTTGATCTACCTGGGATTGTCATGCTTTCTGCTATACAAATCCGACCATGATTTACAATGCTTACCAGTGGTAAAGTAGCTAATTCCTCTTTATTCTTAAAAAATTTTAAAACCTTTTTAATTGTGTCTGTAGTAGACCGGTTCCACAGTTCATCTCGACCTAGAAGTCCGTCTGCTGGTAACTGGCTACCTACTGGCACTACATGCATTTTGAATTGTAGAGCTGGAAATTTTCGGTGTTCAATATTGACCGTACCCAATGTACTTATGTTGCCTCCAAAAGCTCCTGTAAGACCTTTTGTGTCTTTGGTGTTTATATCTTTTAAATCGATTAACGCCTCTGTTTTTATAAGGCTGGTGTCTGCTCCCGAGTCAACTAAAAGTCGAAGTTTATTTCCCACTGCACGTTCGCAAGGTACTTCTACATAGGCATCATCAAACGATTGACTAATGCTACCTTTGGCATTGTAACTCGCTCCTTTTGCCCGTAGAACTCCTATTTGTTCAAACACCCACTCTGATTTTTCTTTCCAGTAATCCGATAGTATTGAACAATATGAAATTAGTAATGTAACTATACATGTCCAAATACTGAACATATATTTGTTCACCCTCAACACTATATTATTCAATTTCGGCTTTTTCAAATAACTAATTTTTTCCTCTGAATTTTTAAACCCTATTTGGTTGGTCAAATTTTCTTGCATTTCCTTATGTTTTATCGTGATTATACCATGATTCCTTGAATTAACCGCTTTGGCTCCTAAATTCTTCGTCTTATTATTTGTATTCGATCGGTTCTGAACATTGTTGTTGCTGTTACTTTTAGTTATTCGTGCAGGTCCTAAATTAAATTGACATTTACTTTTTGAATTTACGGCAGTCCAGTCTAATGTCTTAGACTGGGCCGGTTGAAGTTTCCCGACGGATTTGGTACTGTTATTCTGCAAGTTTTTGCAAAATGTCCTTCTTTGCCGCACCTAAAACATCTAAGATTTGCACTCAAAGGTCTTCCACTTGGTCTGTTAAAGTTTGGATTACTGTGCTTTAAAGGTACTGAATGATTTTGCCAGTCCCTCTCTTGTCTCACGTTACTGTAGTTATTTTGGTTCCCACGTCCTGTATGTCCCAATTTACAAAATTTATTCTGTTCATGTCCTCTCACTCCACAAAAAGTACAATACAATTTGTTTGGTCTACTGAAACAATCCTTTGTATCGTGTCCCGTCTTCTTGCAGAAATTGCAGGCCAATTTTTCTTGTTTTACTGTCTCCATAGGATGTTCTCTACATTTGGGTCCATTTTCATGCTCATATACTCCACAATTTGTACAGTATGGCGTATTTTGTCTTTCTGGGCAGAATGCCCATCCATGTCCGTCTTGTTTACAAAACGTACATTTCATTTCTGTTCGATTCTCTGTGGTGGACATGTTTATATTTGAACGTGATTCACCCAATAATTCTTCGGCTGATTCTGCAATAAAAATTAGTTTCTGGATAGGATCATTCTCTAACCCAATAAACCTATGTTTTAAACTATTGTCTTTCAAACCCTTAATAAAACAACATACTGTTAGTCGCCTGTATTCTCCTAACTGTGACAGAATTTCACTCTCACCTCCTCGATTTCTTATTAGTTGTTCGGCTTCATGTAGTAACGCCTCCAGTTTACCTCCAAATGAACTCGCCGACTCATTCTGTCTTTGTTTGGTACAAGTTAGATCATTCCTTATGTGTTCC